TCAAGATGGCTGGGTAAGTGAAGGCGCTTGGCACCAAGCCTGATGACCTGAGTTCAATCCCCATGTGGTAGAAGAGAACTGATTCCTGAAAGTTGTCCTCTAACCTCCACTCAGAGCCAAACACATGTACCCTCTCCACACACACATACATATAAGTAAATGTTATTTAAAAATTAAACATCAATAACTCAAACACCTTAAACATGCAAAGTTCCTGGTTTGCAAATTAGAAGTTAATAAAGCCATTTATTTTTTTAAAAATGATAAGTACCTTGTAGGCTTCTAAATGTATTTAGTTGGATAATTCGTACAAAGTACTTGACACGGTACTAATACATAGTAAGTGCTCAATAAACAATAGCAATTAAACTCAGCAGTCCAACTTCAAGACATCTCTGTAGGCTTGGATTTTTTTTAAAAAACCTACTTTATTTGGGGTTCTTAAACACTTCTACCTTTCTTCCAACACAGTGAACAGAGGTAGGGGAGAGAGACAGTTTTTAGAAAAATGGGGTTGTGGACCCTTTAGACATAGCTCCTTGGGGCGATTCCACTCTTCATTGTCCGGATACCAGCAGTCCAGTCAAATAGCGAACACCAAAGAGCAACATGAATCAACAGCAGCAGCACCATTCAGCAGAAACAGCAAGAACGAGTGAGCGAAAGGAGCAAGACTCAGCAGGAGGTGCAGCAACTGGGGTATTGACTGCTTCATTACCGAAGAAGATGATCCTCAGAGCTTTACCCCTCCGGGCATAGGCTAAAAATGGCTAATTGCTGTTTCTTGGAAAAGCATCAAGGACCACAGCAGTAACTCGTAAGAGAGAACGTAGGAACTCCTCAGTTTTCGATGAACCTGAGCAAGCAGATGTTGACAGTCCGAGTGGCTGGAAGTCTAAATTAGAGAAATGACATGGCCCTCTGTTCCCCTTGTTCTCCATCTGTGGTGATCATAAACACCGTGGCCCAAAGCACCTTGGGAGAGGAAAGGGATTGGTTTCATTTTACAACACCTAGATACTAGTCCATCGCTGAAGAAAGTCAAGGCCGGAACTCAAAGCAGGAACCTGGAGGCAGGAGCTGAAGCGGAGACCACAGAAGGGATGCTGTTCACTGGCTTCTTCTCTGTGGCTTGCTGGGCCTGCTTTCTTGTACAGCCCGGGACCATCCACCCAGGGGTGGCATAAAGGGAATAGGTTCCCAAAAGTTGCCCTGTGGCTGCTACATAAAGCCCTGGCACACATGCTCCCCAACACACATAAGTAAAAATTTCAAACGTCAGTAACGTAAACAGGTAAGGTTTATGGTTTGTGAACTAGAAACTGATAGAGCTATTTGTGTATTAGTGGCCAGTCACTGACAAGCTTGCTCTCTGTGGCTTACTTGGCGTGCTTTCTTACACAACCCAGGATCACCTGACCAGGGTGGCCCTCCCACATCAATCATCGACCAAGGAAACGACCTCCCAGAATTGTACACAGGCCACTCTGATAGAGGCAATTCCTCCATCGAGGTTCCCTCTCCCAAGGTGATGTGTCAAGTTGGCAAAAACTAATCCATACACTATGCATTTTGTAAAGCAGCCTTTACTGAGACTCCCTGTCAACAGCTCGGGTGGTGCAAACAATACACACACACACACACACACACACACACACACCAATTCTACCTCTCCACAACTTCCTCCAAGTTCAAGAGGTATCCCTGAGTGACAGGAAGGGAATCAGCAGTCCCCTGTAACAACTGGGTCATTGGGAGGAAAAAGTTGGTGAGGTCTCACAAGTCCAAGTAAAATCCAGAAAGGGGGCAGCAGGGCTTTAGAATAGAACAAAACAGAATAGGGAGGAGTCAAGTCTACTACCTAACTAGAATTATAGAATTCTTTCTGTTCAGGTGAGACTTCATCTTCTCTTAGATTTCACATGACAGGACTGAAAACTTGATGTGGCGCCAGGTTTGTCTTATCATCATCTGGGTAAAAGCGCACGAGGGAGAAAATGGCATACAGCCTCAAAAGTCCATCTAACCCATCAGATTATCACTTATTAAACCAGTTTCAAGAAATAGGATTGTTCTTCTGACTCACAAGTTAGATCCCTTGACTATGTCGAGAGAAGACCAGAAAGTCAGTGGCTCTGGCTGGCCAGCTAACTACAAGGAGATCCTGTATCCAGAAGCAAGCAGCAGCTGTCACTCAAAGCTCTGCCAGGAGGAGCAATGGCCACTCTTTAAAACTGACCAAAATACCACCTGGAAGAGATGCTAATGTTTTAATGACGTCTAACGGTGTCATAGAGACACGGGGGACCTGGGTACAGCACTGCCGTGGAAACACGACAATGGAGCGTCCTCTCAAAGAATGGTCACATGAGTGTAGCTTAGTCATTCACGCCAGTTAGTGGCCCAGAGTTCTAGCCAAGCAACTCCAACGGAGTAATGTAGCCTCCCAGAATACCATCTATCTGAATATATATTGTTTCCGGTATTATTGGTTCTGAGGCGGTTTTTGTTTTTTTTGTTTTGTTGTGGTTAAGGAACCTCAGTTAGCCACAAGCTATGGTGTAGCACTTGCTTTTGAAGCTCTGCTTTATTTGGTGTGTTTAGGCCTCAACCTCTTTTCCGACTCTCCAAACCTACATAGGAGAGAAACGTTAGTGGGAAGAGAGGGCCCCTTTACTTCTCCTGGTTGTTTAGGGTCTAGGGGTTCTTTTAGGGCTCTGTACAAATCTCTATCAGCAGCAGACACAGCCAGCAGTCTACTTCAATCCGCTGCGCCCCGAAGTATTTCTTTCCGTCTGTCTGCTCCAAACTGCCACACCTTGGGCCTCCCGGGGCTCCGCTACACGCCACACACAAGCACTGCTCGATGTGGCACACACCATGCTTTCTCTTTCTGGGCTCCTAATTTACACCCTCAGAGTCCTACACCACACCCCTCTCCGTGCTGCAAGAGGTAGGCTGTTACCAGCTGGCAAAAGCCACGCCCTGTAAGAGACGATCGACGTCTGTGAGCGAACTAAAGCCCAAACTAAAATCCCACGCTTGGGATTAAAACAAAAACATCTTTACATAGCATAACTGAGTATACAAAGAAGCCAGAACTTCCATTACACTATGGGGCTTTTCATCATAGAGAGAGCCAAAGACCCAGTGATGCCATGCTTGGCACCCTCAGCCTTAGAGTGGAGGGAGCCCAGATGACGGAGTAGCGGAGGGGGAGCCCTAGGACTCAGCCACAGTGGAGCGTTAGGCTCCCTCGGTGTTCAGTCAGTGCGGTCTGGTGTGCAGAAAACTCAACACCCAGGTCTGGAGAGCTCGCTCCTGTGGTTATGAGCACAGGCAACAGTGGGTAAGAGGAAAAAAGATGAATGAAGCGAGGTGTTGCTCAACGACCCGGGTTGGCGTAGAAGCTGAAACACATGAACTAAGGTTGTGAACCTTGACCATTCTCTTTCTCTGTTTGAAATACATAGTTTTCTACTTGGCTCTTCAGCCACTTCCAGGATTTTTGAAGTGCAGATTCCTGAATTTCAGCCCAAAGATTCTATCCCCACAGTAATGGGTCATACCTGTATAGGGATGTAGATTCCGGGGGATCCCAGCATATTCCACTCAAGGAGCTGTGTTTGGACACAACAGCTTGCTGGTGAGATGGCTCAGTCGTTAGGAGCACTGGCTGCTCTTCCAGAGGTCGTGAGCTCAATCCTAGCAACCATGTGGTGGCTCACGGCCATCTAGAAAGGGACCTGATGCCCTTCTCTGGCATGCAGACAGAGCACTTGCACATTTAAAAATAAAGAAAAGCTTCTCGTGGCTGTGACACCTCAGGCTCACTTGTCCCCATGCACCATTGGCCTTCACAGAACTGGCTGTCCTCAGTGAGCAACAGCATGTTCCTGGCTTCTACGGTGACTTGCTGCTGCGTTACAGGCTAGTTTTCCCTCCCAATCAACTCCCCGACGGTCTTTTGGCAAACACACACTTCACACCAATTCAACTCAGCAAATCTTTATTGGGCACCTATGGTAGTCAAGGCACAGTACCAGGGGCTATGGGCACACGGGCAGGAAGGCTAGGTCTCACCCTCAAGAGGCTTACAGTCTATGAGGGAGACAGATACACTCACAGAAATATAAGGCAGAATGAGGTGAACTCTACACCTGAGGTAAAAATGGTGGGAAAGCAGGGGACAGAGAAAGACAAACATCACCTCAGGGGACTGACACCAGAGTGGCCTTTCAACCAGCCTCGACCAAGTAGTAAAATGCACACAGGTGGGACTGGAGAAGGGGAAGAAGGCTGCAGGAAGAATCGTGGAGGAGGAAGGAAAGCTGCCTGCCTTGACGGGAGATTAACTGGAGGAGTCAATGCTGGAGATGCAGAAGACAGCCAAATGGTAGAGGTTGTCCTTAGAATATGGGGTCACCAAACTTCATTCTGTAGGCAATGGGGAGTCACTGATTATGAGCTGGTGACGGTCTTGACCCCATTTCCTCAGTTCCCGACAGGAACAAGACAGGATTGGCTTTAACACTAGCTTACTGCTGTTAACTTTACAGACTCACACCTTCTCTCAGCCTCAAAGCGGAAGCCAGCTCAGGTTCTTAGGGCCACGCGTGCTTTCCAGGGCTGCACAAAGCTAAGAAGCAGCAGCCTCACTGGGCAAATTTTGAGCAATCCTCACCACCATGCACCAACTCCAGAGAAAAGGAAGCAAGGCTTTCCAGGACCACTTGTAACTAAGGATCTGGGCACAAGAGGCTATTAGACAGAGCCAACTTTGCTACCTAAGCACAGCGAGGATAAGCTCAGAGAAAACAGGAGAGCCATAGGAAATGGTGGGGAGACACATTAGTAAAAATCAACATCGCCCAAACTCTTTGGAAGGCTTTTTGGCATCACCATGCAACCACCCAGCCCTCCGGGCGAAGAGACCCTGACGCCCTGCTCACTGGAATCAGCAGCAGCTCTCTGCTCGGTAGAGGCTCCTGGGATCCTACCTAACTATCCAATGAAGACGGGGAATGGCGTCCACCTCCAGCTGGTCCGCCCCAGCTTGGGAAGGGATGCGAGGCCACCGCTGTCCAGGCGGATACAGCAATGCTGGTCAGTGAAGGCTCCCCCAGGACCTCCACACCTGCCGAGGTGGTGGCTTGGGTAGGGAGCACAGAGGGAGGTGAGGTGACAGCAGGGTTCCCAAGGAGAAACGTTCCTGGGGTGCCAGCGTGCACCTCTGAGCCCGATGCCACGGAGCCCCCACTTCCGTTGCTGATGGTCCACAGGCACGGATAGGGGCTGCAGAAATGGGGAGACAGGGATTGGTGACAAGCCTTCAGCACATGTACACGCCCCCAAGAGGGGCAGCAATGCTCTCAAGAGGGCTGCTAGCAATGACTGTGTCTCTGTCTCTGCAGAAAATCTGAGAGACCTGGTGAGATACAGTAAAAGGGGGGGGGTGCTATATTTAGGTGCTGGCCCTCCTTATAACAAGTTAGTCCATCTCAAACAGCATTTCATCTGTCTGGGACTCCCTCACAACTGTCTAAGACAGTGAAGACTGTGAAAGGACTATACTTTATTTATTTATTTATTTATTTATTTATTTATTTATTTATTTATTCACTTTGGATCCCAGCTGTAGCCCCCTCCCTCATCTCCTCCCAGTCCCTCCCTCCCTCCCTCTTCTCCCACTATGCCTCTTCCCTAGTCAACTGATAGGGGAGGTCCTCCTCCCCTCCCATCTGACCCTAGCTTATCAGGTCTCACCAGGGCTGGCTGCATCATCTTCCTCTGTGGCCTAGAAATAGCGCTACCTCAAGGACTGTAATTATCCTGTGTAAGTTTTGGAATGATCTCTCCCTGGCTGACAAAGGCAACGTGATCCATACAACCAGCAGGATGCTGTCACCAGAAGCCCTTGGTTGTGATGCTTCTGCCACTTAGTAGCTCAGTGGCCTTGGCCAAATTACTTCATGTCTCTAAATCCCACCTCCCAGATCCTCAGAAAATGAAGAAACAATTCTGTATACCTCAGAGGTTATTGCAAAGACTAAGTCAAGAGGCAAATATGTGATACAAGAAAGCAGTGCCCAATACATGGTATTTACTCTCATGCTCACACCCCAGAGCCTCACTGCTCAGCTCTGCTTCCTGGTACAAAGCCTGAAGAGATGGACCGAGCACATCACCGTCTCAACCCACAGAATGCTGCAGCCATACAATAAGGAGCTTATTGCTGAAGAGGGGCTTTCCTGCCACCCTTTCTCCAACAGCCAAAGAGCCATCCATTGCCACCCTCATTCCCTACTAGCTTAATGTCAGAACAACTTCAACGCATGCATCTTAGAAGCAACACACAGAGTTCCCCGAAGGCACAGGAAACCTCCAAGTGGTCCTAGGAGCGAGTTCCTGGCCTTGGTCTTACCTGGGCCCTGGGTTGATTGGCCCGTTGGTGTGTGGTACAGACAAGATGCTGGTGTGAGGTGTGGAGGATAAGGAAGCCCAGCTGTCAGGTCCCGAGAAAACTTGCAGATTGTTGCTTGAGCTTTCTATCAAATTCACTTTGGGGAAATAACAAAACAGTTGAGTTGACGGAACATGTAAACCCGGTGACCAGTGACATTACCTCACGGCAAAATCTAGCTGAGGCCTATGCCACAGGCACAGTTTGTTGGTAACTTCTGAAGGAAACAAACAAAACAGGAAGTCGGTATTTATTGAATACCAGCTACAGCCCAGGTGCTCCTGACAGTTTATAGCCTTCCTGAACACCTCACCATCATCGCTTTAGAGACAAGGCTGGGGGAGGGGAGGCCGCTTTGCCCTGTAGGATGGACAACTGCCTGACCCCCTTCATCATGTTCACTGCCCTTCAAGAATGGACCATAACCGTAACAGCATCCCTCAAACAAAGTCCAAGGGATGCCAAAGCTCAGAGGAGATTTCTGAGGTCCTGGCCTTTATTCTCCTTAGAGATCCTAGAGATTTGAACTTTTCGAGAGAAATGTCTTTTCACGGGAACAAAGTGTTACTTGTGTGTAGAGTACAGAAATGGTGGACACATAGAAGCAGAGGATGGGATAGTGGAACCAGGTGTGGGGAGATGAGGGGGCACACAGGATGAGTCAGAAATCCAGCACACAGCATGTGGACTAGAATTAGTGGTGCATGGTGGGCTGATGTGGCTCAATTGGCAGACCCTACCTAGTGTGAATAAAGCCTAAGATTTGATACCCAGTACTGCATAAACCAGACATGATGGTACATCCCTGTAATCCCAGCACTTGAGGATAGAGGCAGGAGGAGCTACATACTTCAAGGCCATCCTAGGCTGTGTGAGACACTATCTCAAAATATATTCATACTAATAACAATGTATTGTATCACGAAATTTTACTAAGAGAATCAATTTCTTTTTTCTTTTTTGAATTTTTATTAATTAATATTATTTATTACAATTTACTCACTTTGTATCCCGGCTGTGGCCCCCTCCCTCATCTCCTCCCAGTTCCACTCTCCCTTCCTCCCTCTTCTTATTTCTTTCTTTCTTTCTTTCTTTCTTTCTTTCTTTCTTTCTTTCTTTCTTTCTTTCTCTTCTGAGACAAGTTTTCTCTGTGTAGCCCTGACTGTCCTGGAATTCACTCTGTAGACCGGGCTGGCCTCAGACACAGAGATCTTCCTGCACCTTCTAAATGCTTGGATTAAAGGCATGTGCCAAGAGTACCCAGCAAGAATCTATTTCTGTGTGTGTGTGTGTGTGTGTGTGTGTGTGTGTGTATGCCTGTATGTGTATATCAACATATTACTGTATACCTGTGTTGGGCCCCATAGACCCATAGGAAGGGGCACTCCTAGGAGGCATGGTCTTGTTGGAGGAGGTGTGGTTTTGTTAGAGAAGGAGTGTCATGATGGGGTGGGTTTTGAGGTCTCAGAAGCTCAAGCCTGACCACTGTGTCACTGTCACTTCCTGCTGCCTGTGGAGTCGGATATAGAACTCTCAGACAACCTTCTAGCACCATGTCTGCCTGCCTGACAAATGAAGAGCTCAGGATGTCACTGGGGAAAGAAAGAGGTATCTCCCATATCATGGACTTTACTCATTTGTTGTATTTAGTATTGGTCACTAGTGTTAGAACAGGGATCTCCATATTGGTGAGGTGTTTGACCGTTTTGTTCATGTGCCTGAAACAGAACCCGGCATATAATTGGTCCTCAGTAACTATTAGGTGCATGAATAATCAAAATTAAAAATTAACCTGTGCTTTCACCCCCTCCCTCTTTTTTTTTAAAAAACAAATCCAATATGCAGAAAGGGTCTGAGCATGCACAAGGCTAAGGTAGACAAGACAGCAGTCAATAAAGAAAAATAACAATGCCAATTTAAAAATTAGGCTGAAAAGTTACAGAAGTTGAGTTTGCATGACTCCAACTCAGTCAAAGGCATGAACAGATGGTCTGCGGCAGACGTCCTGGCAGTTCTGCACTGGACCCAGATTCCCTGGATCAAGCCATGAACACAGTGATAAGAAAGAGCCCTGAAGGACAACAAGAGGAAGGTCTCAGACCTCATCACTTGACTGAGCATCAGACACCAAGGCCATGAGTCAAGGCCTTTCATGCCCAATGGAGACCATGGACTGAGCAGGGGCTGTAGCCCAGCGGTGAGGCACTTGTCTACTATGCACAGGCTCTGGAAATCAATCCAAGAAAAGAGGAAAGAAAAACTGAAGAGACTAAACTCTTCTATCAAATATTACCATATAAATAACATACATACATACGTTGTATGTACGTGTATACCACAGATGAAAGAAACTCGCTCTTTACATACTTCTTTTGATCAGCTCTGTACCCCACTGCCACGCCCAAGGGTTTAATTAGTGGAACCACACACCTGAGGGAGAATGGTTTCTGTGCACGTACGCCGAAGGGTAGGGAGCCTGCCGATGTCCCCGGAGGGCAGGGTAGCGCTCACAGCCATGGTGGGTGTGGGGAGCAGGCAGAGGCAAAGGCGAGGCATACTGGTAATTGGTGTTTCCCGATGCACACATGCCATCCGGATTGGAAAAGATCCAGCCTCCCACTAGAACAGACAAGAAGGAAACAGACTTCCACACCGAAATCAGATGGCAAAAGTCATTCTGGTTTAATTAAACGTTAGTCAAGGAAACATTAGACTGACTACAGATACTAGGGCCATTTAATGTGGTTACCCAGGAGGAGCAAAGCTCCCTCTCTTTTCTACCCAGTGGGGAAATGATGACTTCCAGCAGGAGCCTACAAACACGAGTCTAGGAGCACAGAAAATGAGGAGTTGATTCTGCACAGCAAACTTTTCACTGAATTTTTTTTTTTTGAAACCTGCAAAATACTTCCTAGAAATGGTTGTTGAAGATTCTGACCAGAATACCCTACCTCAAGTGGGTTTCTAGGCAAAACGGACTTAGCAATGTTGACCCTATAAGTCGAGGCCATCTCAGGTGAGATGACAAATAGACTCTAGGCAGGGCCACAGATGCTCCTTTTAGGCCCAGTGGCTGAAGATCATGACGGAGATCTCAGTGATGTGAAAATGGAGCCGGGTCGGAGAGCCCGCTCTTCCTGCTTAAAATGTCCATGTAAAGAGAGTGTGTGGCATTCCCAGGATATTAAGGTCAAGTTAAACAGCTGGGTTTAACTATTCCTAATCCCTTTGTCTCCTTCATTAGCTCCACCCGGTAAGGGAGGTCAAAATAGTCTGCCCCAAAACGTATGTCTTTAGCATGTCCTGAGCTGTCCACTCAGGGGTCTTCCACACATAGAGAGCTCTAAAATGCTATCCTTGTGGGGAGGTTCAGATATGTAAAAGAAGTCAGCAACAGTAGTGAACAGGCTTCCCCTGGGGCTCCCCCTTACTGGCCCTATCTAGACCTGCCCAAAACACGTTCACAGGAAGTCACAGGCTCTTCAGAAGGCTACCACCTATGCAACCTGACCTCCAGAATGGAACTGCCTTCTCCCCTCAACCTTCTGAAATATGTACCACCATCTCCTCACCTGACCTGCAGAAGCCTCGAGGCTCTTTCTGTAACCCAACATGTTATGTAAGCTTCAACTGTGTAGCCCTCTCCTTGAGTCTCAGATTTTCTGTACGGCTCTCAAGCTTCTTCATGTTCATCATTTATATGCTTATCTCCCTAGTTATCAGTCTATTTCTTAAATTAAAATTAGAGACACTTTACGGAAATTTTAAAACTTCTCTATATCCATTAACAGAGCCTCGTACCCAACTCAACCCCAACCCCAAGATCACTTAGTTGGCCCCATGATGTTTAGACCTCAGGATGTTCACTGACAACATTACAGCTCATGACCATTGAGGAGGTGTGGACCCACGTTGACCCTAACCTAAACAAGAAAACATTTGACTGAAGTCCCTCTAAAAGGCTTTCCTGGTGACTTTTCTGCCTGACTCTACTGGCACATCTACATAGAAGATGCCTTACAGTTTGGGGCTAGGAGAGGATGAAGAATTCCATGGCTTTCATATGGCAGTAAGAATCACCCTCAGCACTCCAGTAAACTAAACTAAAGCATCTGAACTAAAGAGTGTGTCAGTCAGAAAAGCCCGGCCCACTGAATCAACTAAGGAGGGCACATCTGGGCAAGCACTGGGCCTGTGTGGGTCTGCCCAGATCTGCTGTGTATATGTTATGGCTGTTAGCTTGGTGCTTTTGTAGGACTCCCAACAGTGGGAGTGTCTTTGACTCTTTAGCCTGGTCTTGGGACTCTCTTCCTCCTATTTGCTTGCCTTGTTCAAGGCTTTTGCTTTGTCTTATTATATCTTGTTTTGTCATGTTTGGTTGTGGTCTCTTGGATGTTAGGGGTTGGTCTGGTGTGTTGTGAATTCAGATGATGAATTCTATGCCCTGAGATCTGGTTGCAGCCCAGATGTGGGCATTGTCACATGTGTTGATGAATGTTGTGTGAACATTGCTCCCCAATTATCTCTGATTGGTTAATAAAGACGCCAAGAAGCCAATTACTGGGCAGAGGAGACAGGAAACTGGGAACTCTGTTGGGAGTCTGGGGGGTCTCAGATAGGGACCATGAGGGAACAGAGAGAGGAAGGAGAGGAGAAGATAAAAGAAGAGGTAGAGAAAGAATGTGACAAGGAGGATGCTGACATGATGGAGCAGAAAAAGCCCAGATAGAACCAATATGGCAAGTAACTCAAGGCATGTGGCTGGGAAATAGCCACATGAGTTAGAATATATTTTATCCGCCCAGCTCTAGAGCCTGAAAGCTTGTAAATAAATCTAATAGGCCTCTGGTTTGTTATTTGGGAGCAGGAGCAGGTGAAGAGAACGTTCCCCCCCCCCCATTATAACATATCTTTTCACTTGGAGGCCTGATCCTTTCTGCAGGGAAATAGAAGAGGAGTAGATCAGGGGGGAGAGGAGGTAAGAGGGACTGGGAGGAGGGGAGGGAGAAAAAAATGTGGGTATATTGTATAAGAAAACAAAATCTATTTTCACTGGAAAAGAATGTGTCAGAAGGTCAACTTTACTGCCATGTCACCGCCCTTGGGTTACCACCGCAGCTTCAGAAGTCTGTCTCCACCAAGAGGCCTCTGCTGTGCTGGGGCATGGAGAACGTGGTTCCACCAGGAATGTCCAGCACTACCTCAGAACCCAGGTGTGATTCTCCAGCTCTTCCGGTCCTCCAGTCAACTCAGCCATATCCTATCACGTGAGGCTACAGCCTGCTGCTGCACCCCACTGTAAATGGACGCCTGTCACAGAGCTCTCATAGGAGAGCTGGGGCATGTGAAATGTGTTATTTCCATTCAAGGGTCCTACCTAAAGTTTTCGTGGGCTTCTTCAGCCTGGGAACTTGGCTTCTCTCGGGGCATAAACTTGCCTCGGGTGGGAGAAATAATCTAGGGGGTATTAATATGGACTAGGCCTTATGCAGTCACGACAGTAACACGAGCATGAAAGGAGATGTCTCCCCGTGTGACCCCACATGCCTGCCACGTCCTTCCACTCCACTCACAGTGAGAATAGGTCACATGCTGGCTCTCAGAGACGGCCTCTGGAATGTCCTTTAGGTGGTTTCTGAAAGAGTAACAAAAGTCCCATCATCTGTTACAGTCAAGCCTAAAGCACATAAAAATCTCTGCAGAGGGTGATAAACATCTCGGAATTACGAGCAGTCAGAGCTACCACCCTCCCCAGCTCCACCAGAAGCACTGACTCGACTTCGTAACCATGGCAGTTTCACTTTTCCTTCCTGTCATTCTTGCAGCCATCACGTTTTACTTTGAATTGATTGAAGTTTGGGGTTGTTTATTTGTTTGTTTGTGATTCTTTTACATGCCTGACAAGATTCAGACAGTAATGACAAGCAGCTGACAGGGCTTTGAGACAATCCCATATGTTAGAGATACTAGATCCACCAACAGCCCTATGGGGGAAACACTATACATTTTTTTTTCTTGTTGTTGTTGTTTCTTTGTTTTGTTTTGTTTTGTTTTGTTTTGTTTTTTGAGACAGGGTTTCTCTGTGTAGTTCTGGCTATCCTGGAACTCACTCTGAAGACCAGGCTGGCCTCACACTTACAGATATCTGCCTACCCCTGCCTCCCAGCACTGGGAGCCACCAGTCTCAAGCCACCACCTCCCAGCAGATTTCTGAATTCTTTCTATCACAGCAAGCTACTCTCATTTTCATCTAGACTTTTGCCACCTCGTGGATCATCTTCACTGAGACTTCTGTTATCTAAACAATGAACTTATCTAAGTATGTCTTCTACATCATCAAAATGTTTCCAAATATTGAACACAACAGATTCCTGTGGCATACCGTTAAAAATGGCTGCCCCTCAGCCCACAGCCTTTAAAAGGAAAAAGAAACATTAGATGCATTTTTTAAAGTAAAATAATAATAATAATAATAATAATAATAATAATAATAATAATAATTGAAACTTGATCAGTAAAATCTGAATACTTCAAAAGTAGCTCTATCTATACCTCAGGGACCATAAATAGAAACATGGACAGTGTGTACCACTCTGGGGAGTTAGTGAGACACTTGTCCAGCCTGGTGTAGGTCACCATTCATGCCCCCAGAAAGTCTCTAGCTTCCTATAGTCTTCCACTTTTCTTGGACTAAAGATAGCTTCTTTTGGTTTTTTTTGTTTTGTTTTTTTTAAAAAAAGGTGAAAGTCAGATGTGGTGGTCTACCCCTGGAACCTCACTACTCCAGAGGGGGTGTGTGGGCTGGATCATTAAAACCATAGGCCTCCACTGGAGATTATAGCTGAGTTGGTAGAAAGCGTGTCTAGCACACACAAAGTTCTAGCTTCAATCCTGGTACCACATACGTGAAGCACGGAGGTTCATGCTGATAACCCAGCACTTGGGAAATGGAAGATAAAAAATTCAAGATCATCCTCAGATGTACAGAGAGTTCAAAGTTCAAGGCCAGCCTGGTCTACCCGAGATCACGTCTCAAAAAAAAAACAAAACAAAACAAAACATATTTCTCAAAATTTGGGAAAAGTGCAGAGAAAAATTATTTAATCTATGTCACATTGTATGTGGTTATGTGTCTTCAGTAATCCACAGTGAAACGAGGTGAATAGGATACTGACAGATGCAAGCTGTCCTGGACCTACAGGACCTGCGACAGGAACAAACAATTGTGATTTGGGTTGAATTTTGTGGCGTCTGTTCGGCACTAAACTGAGAGTTACAGCTGGAAAGTGAAGGCAATGCGAGCACCCGCTCTGTTCAAGACGCCTCAGGTTTGCAGAGTTCAGTTCACAGGATCTGGCTGAATATCTACGCACCTTTCCTTGGCATCCAGGAAGGCCTTGGCAAAAGGGTTGTACTTGATTTTGAGAGCTGTTATCTGGCGTTTGCAAAGACAAGACGTGTTAGTGAAACAGTGCAATGCAGACAGAGTCCCTGTCTCCCCCTGAAAACGTCTGTAAAAGCCACCATCCTCTCTTTCCTGTTCTCTTCCCTCCCATGTCTCACTGTTCACGCCTGCACTGGCTATCGCGCTGCGGGGTGAAAATAGCAAATGATGTGAGATGCGAACAAAGTGGGCACAGCATTAGGAACCAGTGGAGCCCCGTGGTGCTAACACACCATTCCTCCTTTTCATTTGTTTATTTTTTATCCAAGAATCACTGAGCCCCTACCATAAACAATGTCCTTTCTTATCTCACAGTGGGGAGCGCGGAAGAGTAAGCCCCTCGCCTCACTTCCAGTATACAGTTGAGCATCAAGGCCCCTGTTCTCATAGAATCACTTACCCACCAGGCCATGTCAAGGCAAAAAAAAAAAAAAAGAAGAAGAAAAAAAAAAGAAAAACATCATCCATTCCCACTCACCATCACTCTCCATCATCAAAATCCATTCAATAAATGAACTGAAGAGAGTCCTGAGACTTATTATTATTATTATTATTATTATTATTATTATTATTATTATTATTTACATCTATCTGTTAACATGTAGCTTTTATGATGGAAGTGAAATATTAAATAGTTACAAAGAAAAGTCTGCATTCTCTCATATCAGCTGCACCTGTCGTAATGATCAAAGCAGAAACACAGAGACGTACAAAAAGACAGCCAGAGGCAGAGCTAGAGAAAGATGTGGAGGCAGAGAGAGAACATCTGTCTTTATCTCCCACCCACTGGTATAGAAGTGCCTTGAGAATGACGTCTGTATCTATTTTGTTCGTTGTAGTGGTTCCAGCATCCATGATAAGAGCCAACATGGGCTGATATCCAGCAAATACTTTTGATGAAATATTGAATGAAATATTGATGCCTGCAAGAGCCTATGGTCCTCTGGGCAAAGAAAGAAAACTAAGATAAAAGTGAAAATCTTTCTAGAAAAGGGAAAGGGGCTGCAGGGTCTGGAGCCCCGGCATTTCTCTTGGCTTAAGCCTGGAGAGGTTGGGGGGGGGGGTAAAGCCAGCAGTGGCTGCAAAGGAAACAGGGTTCTCTCAGCCAGCCCCATTCCTGCTCAACTCCCAGGGAAACCTTGTGGACTCTGGGCTTAGATTTTACATAGCTTGATCTCCACAGGATGTGTTCAGATTTAAGGAGTGACTAAGTCAGCATGACCACTGCCGGGCAGGCAGCTCAGAGAAGACTGTTTAACAAGGGACAAGTTTCTGAGTATCTCCCAAATCAGTACCTGAGTGACAGGAACCAGTAACTAAGAGCAAGCAGCATAGAGATGGACAGTACCTATGCAGAAGAGCTAGGACAGTACCCAGAGATCCAAAAGCCACATGGTCCCCCTTCAACCCAGACTCCAGCCAGAGAGAAGTGGAGAAAAGGCTAGCCGAGAGACTGCAGCTGCCACCTTGAGAGAGTCTCTGCTCCCACTGCCAGGCTCCCAGCAAGAGGCTGGGTTAGTTTCTAGAACAGCAGCTATATTCTCTCTACACACTTGCCCTAAGCTAGTTCTGCAACAGCATTCACCTACAGAAACCGAAATGCCAGTTTCCAACTTGATGATCACCGGGGTCCTTCCAGAGAGATGACACACAGCAGATTCTAGAAAGGGTCCGTGGAGATGGCTTTCTCTGAAAAAGCCTCCACATAAAGAAATGCACATTAAAGTAGCCAATTTGGGGCTGATCAGATTGCGAAGGGTGAAAGGCGTCACTTCTAAGTGGGGGCTGTCAATGAGACGCTCTTTTCCAGGGACAGACTTGGCACATTTATCAAATTCTCAACAGATGGTCCTCATGCAGAACAGTCCTGTTTCTTTGTGTTCACTATGCAAGCAAACCATGATAGATTACCCAGCACACTCACTGCGGCATAATTTATAACTCAGAATAAAACGACTTAAGTCTTGCTGGGAGCAGACGGCTGCTCACATGAAATGTCATAAATCCGGATAATCAAGCGCTGGAAGTATTAGAGGAAAAAGAGACATGCCTGAATGTAAGTTCCTGGAAGGAGATCCTCTATATGCTATGGAGCTGTTAAAGGGAGGAAAGGAAAGAAACTTACAAGGTAATATTTACAACATGACCCAGTGTATGTGAAGAATAATTCGTGTGAAACTCTATGAAGAAATTCCCATACCTATCGTAGCAAATGTTGAGGGGACACACTTGAAAGCTGGTTGGTATAGCTTCCATAAAGAGTGTGCTTCCAAAAGCAGAAGAAAACGCACTTTTTCCTATTTCTTTGCATTGTTACCCTTCCTGCCCACACTCTTCTCAGACATATCAGCTTGCCGCCAGCCAAGCACCCCAAACAATGACTCGAAAAGCACCCAGAACAATGACTCCAGATTTCCAACATGACCCCGCAGCTTTATAGCAATATACAAGTGTATCTTATTGGCACCACGAGAGGCTGCTTTTGGTGGGCTGCTATAGTTTGCATCTTGAGGGTGTCCCAAAAGCCCCTGTGTGAAGGCTTGGTGCTGCTGGGAGCCGGTGGGATATTTAGGAGGTGGTACTTAGAGGTCTTCAGATCACTGGGACATGCCCTTGAAGGAAGTTTGGGAAGGCTTTCCCCACCCACCCATAAAGGTAAAAGGGGTGTTTGGCTCTGTCCTGGAGCCTCCAGAACGGTAAGACAAGGTGAGCCTTTCTCTGTATCGTCTCCTATAGCTGTAGTGGTGGCAGAAAGCTGGCTAACATAAGGGCCTTTGACAAATAGGCAGGCGTGAGAGTCTCTGTATACAACTCACGGTTTAGCTCCATCACAGCTGACCATGTCAGGACCCTTAAAAACCTAAATTCTATTCAGTCTTGCTCATGGCAAGAAAGGACTTCCATGCTCCTCCATGTGACATTCACACACATTCCTAAACAGAGAGAGAGAGAGAGAGAGAGAGAGAGAGAGAGGCACAGATGTGCACTCAGGCGCTGGCATACACTCATTTACCTCCTCATTCTGATAGGCGGTCACGGCGATAAACTGGGTTTCAGGGAAGGAACAGTTCATGACCATCCGATGGGCGCCTCCAACACGCACTATGTGAACCTGGGGCTCATATTTATGCAGGGAATTCAGCATTATCTGTTGAATGTGAGAAAATCATGTTTTAACAAGCCAAGCCAAGCCTGGGGCATCACAGTTGATCAGCCAGCTCAGCACCCACCCAGACCGGGACACACACATGAAACCCTGTGTCAAAATGAATGGGTGAGTTTTTTCCAGGCGCTCCCAGCAAGCACTGCACTGAGGCTCACAGATGCTCATTACACTGGGTTCACAGACAGCTGAAGAAGAGCTGTTCTTAAGTTTTCTGTATGTTCCCAAATCTAGGCTTCTGTTTTCTTGCTTCCTCTATGTTCAGCATGGCAATGTACATTTCAGTCCATTCAAATATATATATGTGTGTGTATATATATATATATATAAATGTATATATAGGTATATATGTGTGTATATATTTTTATATATACATATATATTTACATATATATATGTGTGTATATATATTTACATATATACATATAGATGTTTGTTTGTTTGTTCGTGTATGAAGAATCCCAGTAACTCAAAATGTTAACTGAGCCTAGAGGATAAGGAAATCTGCCACCAGAGGGTTATACACAATTTACTCTTCATGATTTAAATGAAAGGCTATTGAAAGCTGTGAGAACGAATAGGGCAGGAACAACTAACCTTCAAATTTCCATTTTAATAAAGGACATTCTGGCTCTCTCAAAGCCAGGGATTACATTCCTTCTGCCTCCTGAATTATGAACTCCTGTGCCCCCCCCCCCCCCCCCCCCCCACAGATAGAAAGGAAAGGGCACAGGCTCGACCCAGACAAAGCCAAATATGAAGGCTCAGGAGAGGAGCAGGCCTTTCCCCCACAAGTCCAATCTCCAGTGCCTTCAAATAGTCTGTATTTTATAAAGTAACTAACAACCCAACCCAGGGAACTGGATTTGCAACCTGCCACAGAAATGGAGGAAAAAGGCTTCACATTATGTTTACTCTAATTGGAAATTTTAAATAAAACCTTTCTTACTTAAGGTTTGTTTGGATTATTTTTTTTTTCTGGAAAGAAAAAAAAAAACAAAGCTTATTCAATATTCTATTGATAATTATCATAATGCCCAAGCAGAAAAAGTAATTATTTCATTTAGGAGCAGCTTTCTATTAAGGTATTTGCCTATTGCCAACATACCACTTACACCAAAAAAAGGGAGCGAGAAAAACAAAAACCCTGGTACCTTACCCACAAACATCTCCCTCCCTGGGCTGGGTAAAAAGCACCACAGTCAAGACAAAACGGAAAAGAGCCTGATGATTAAGTAAACTAGTGCACTCTCTCTCATTCTCTTAACATCAGGAAGTCCATTAAAAACTGAAGCACCAATTAAGAGCTGTTTATTCCTGTTTACATTTGGACTCCAGGAAATAACCGGCTTCTGTGGGCAAAGAGGCTGGTGAGGACCCCTCTAATTACCTAAATGCACCCTTGATATTTCTTGATTGGTGTGTGGGGAGGCCACGCGTACCTGCCCACCTCCATTGAGCTTGTTGGTCAGCTTCACTTTGCTGAAGGAGATGGGTGCTTTCATCCAGTGAGCCCCGAAGTTGGGGGAGTCGGGGTGAATGTAGACGCAGCTATGGCTAGAGACCTCTGGCTTGCCTGCGGGTACCCATTCACCGTTGACGTACTTCCAGCGGTGGCTATCCGTCGGGACGAAGTCCAGCAGGAGGGAGTACATGGCGTTGGGGTCCAGTCCTGTGACACTGATCTTCAGGACAGGGAACATCCGTCTGAAAGAAGTCAGAAACAGCCACAAAAGGGATATTGAAGGACCTCTTCTCCTCCTTGGCCCAGAGGCCTCTCACCTCTGAGGAGGCCTTCCAATACGATGATCTGGAAGGGAAACCACACAGACAGCCCCTAAGACAACAGCCCCAATTTCACCAGAGCCTGTTTTGACAAATGCATTTGACACTGAGGTTTGACTATTGAACACCGTTCTGTGTGTTAGAAATCTGCAGACCACCTGTCTAGTTAGTCATTTCCTAGAGAAGGACGTGCAGACAAGTGTGTCCTCAGATGCCACGTGCTTGGGCAGCTTTCTCCCTGGCACCCTAAGATCGGCTCTCCCCGGACTCACTAAGAACCCTGATCCTGAATAAAGATACTAGCACGTGGATGGCTGCATGGTAAAGCAAGCGGGAAAAGGGGGGGTTGTTGGCTGAAGAGTTAGCGTTCCTTTCTTGCAGGGCTCCCCAGCCCGATCTACAGCCATGCGCAGGGTGAACGCAGGGAGGAGAGTGCGGCTGCGCATACCCTTTGCTCTGAGCACTTGGTGGGAATCTGCCTAGCTTCTCGATAATGCAGATATGGATCCGCTCATCCTTCCTCCGCCCTCTGGAACATTGCCAATCTTCGCATCTATCTAAATATCTGACTTCTGACCCTATGGCTCTTTTAGCAGCCACAAAGAGAAACGACAACGGAGCAGCCATCACTCGGTCCTCAGTTCTTTCTAGACTTCCTGTTTCCAGGAGGAAAATCAGAGGGAGGAGGTTCCTGGCAGCCAGGGGCAGAGCTGATACTGCATGTGTTTCCAATGTCCAAAGTGACCCAAGGTAAGAATCTGGAACGGCAGCGGGAGGTCATGAGTCTAAGGGCAGAGCGCAGGACTTAGCACATTCACGGGGTATGGCAACAAACACTTCAAGAGAGTCAACTGGCCAAGTTCCTGCAACTTGATAAAGCTGCCCTCCTGTGACATGAGTTTCAATAAATGAGACTGTGTGCATCAAATAAAATGTCTAGAGGAGAAAGTGTGTCAGATAACGCATTCCCAACTCAGCCAACTATGTTTGGCTGAGAATCACATCTCACCTCACTCCCTTCCTCGAGATGACGGTCCCTTTCTGGTTACTTCCCTTTCAGGTTACCGTTCTGCTTCTCTCTGCTTTTTTTTCTTAGTAGAAGCAGGAGAAGGGGGATTTCTCCATGGTTTTCTCTTGCAATCAGATTGAACCATTCCTCTTCCCTGTACATTGTAACATTTTCAATTATTTTAATAGTGTTGTCCCCGTGTAGACAAGACAAGTTACTGAATATACGAATGTCATTTGCAAAGAAACATAAACTTGGACATCAGGGAGATGACATAAAGTCATTTTAACAGCTGGGAAGATTTCCTATTCACCGGAGGTATGGTTTGCAATCGGTCTCTGTCTTCTGGTCCCAAGCTTTTTTTCTTAATGTGATACATTTGGGTTTCCTTTTCATTTTGTTCTACTTCAGTTTAATCTATATGTATGTACATATATATATCAGGAATATAGTGTTGCCACTCATTAACAGTGGCAGAAGCAAAGTGAAAAATACAGTCACATTTGGGAGGCAGGCAGATCTTTATGAGTTCAAAACCAACCTGGTCTACATCGTGAGTTCCAGGCTGCCAAAGCAACTAAGTAAGACCTTGTGTTATAAAAATAAATTAAAAAAACCCACAAGTGTGACACATACAATTGTCATTTTGTAAACTAAAGTTTAAAAGTACCAGAAGGATATGTAGCATCAGTAGTATGTCATTGCAAATAAGAGAAAAATCTGCAAAACATACCTGTTCTTCACACACCGAGTACAGAATGATGCAATGGCTCAAGATGACAGGGTAATGTCAAACACTGGGAGGTTCTGTAGCGTTCTCACTTACCATTGACAAGATAATCTAATGAAAGGCTATATGCCAGTGATAATAGTTACCACATTATAGTAGCCAGGGGTTACATAATAGCACCCAGGGGTTAGCTAAGTTACAACTCCTTTAAGTCTTCCTTCTCCACAAGGAGGTATTCCTATGCCCTTGTTTTAGTGCAAAGGACCCAAGGTTCTATCTAATAAGCCTATTAGCCAAGAGACTCCTGGCTCCATTGCACGAAGAAGAAACCCATAGCAGCACTTCTTCCTCCTTTCTAAATCTAGAGACAGGCTTGTTATTGTGAAGAAACTGTGACTGCACACAGAGATGCTCAGCATCACCAGCCATCCTAAAAGTGCACAAGTAAGATGCCATGTCACACCTTCAAGGATGGCTACAGTACAAAAACAAGACAGCAGAAAATGTTGGTGAGGCTGGGGAGAGACTGGAGCCCCTCCCATGGCGCTAGGGAGGATGCAAAATTGTTAGGTCACTTCGGGAATGGTCTGTTTGACTAAATATGGAGTTGCTAGTTAATCTTGCAGGTATGTATTTATGCAGGAAAGATGAAAACAAATGACTACAGATATGTCGTAGCAGTTACAAAAACAGACAGATACACTGAACGAGGAACAGATGCCAAATAGGTTATATCCACACGAAGGGGTGTTATTTGGCCACAAAAGTTCTGTGATACTGCTGCATGCTTCAATATACACGAACTTGACCACACTGGGCTAAATGACAAGATCGTCACAAAGAATCACGTACCATATGGTTCCACTGTATGAAGTGACCATCATACGGGAGACTATAGAGGCAGAAAGCAAACAAGTGTGTCAGTGATGGCTAATGGATACAGGGTTTTTTGGTGGGGGAAGACAAGAAGAATGTTCTAAAAATCAAGTATGAAGAGGGATTTACAGTTCTGTGAGTATGCTAAGCCCCCGGAACTGTGTGTCTTAAACAGAGGAGGAATATGGTACATGAGTCACATCCCAATATAATGCTGTCAATTAAAATGGAAAAGCTTAGAAGGAGGTCCTATATGAAAAATGATGGCCTGATCAACTGCTTTATACCCTTTGGTGTTCCATTTGCCAAGAACTTTATAATTGTTCTTAGTTTTGAGATCATCATTATGATGACACATAATTTTAATCTCTATTATCAAAATGAGGAATGAATAATAAGGAATGACCTCTGTCAGCCTCCAAAGGTCTCAGAACTGGACTAGACCTTCCTCTTAGCCCACCTCATCTCCCCTTTCCCCTTCTTTGTCTTGGCCCACAATGACCTTGATACATCATCTGTATGCCTTCAGGGAAGAAATCCACTTCTATCCAAAGTGAGTTTTTTTCTTCCATTTCCCCCCCACCCCAAAGCATGACTAAGCACAGAGAGGGCTGAGAGTCTCTGAGGAGTTTAGAAGCGTATGAATCAGCCTCTAAGTCACAGACTGCCAGTACTTGTCTTTGAATGAGAGTCTCTTCAGAGAGAGAGAGAGAGAAAAAAAAAAAAGAGGGTGGTTGAGAGGGAAGAAAGAGAAAATATGACAAAGTGAACAGCTTGTCCTAGCCACCATAATTGATGGGTCATGGACATTGAGTTTTATCCGCACACCTGGCCTTGCTTTCACTGTGAAGCTAGCTGCCCAGTTTTAATTCACCAGTAGGAATCTTCAGAAACAGTCCTGCTGAAAGAGGCTAGAGAAATGAGGGCTACAGGAGAAAGGGGCAAGAGAGGAGGGGGACTTTGTAAGGAGGGAAAGCACAGAGGCTTGTCCAAGGCAATATTCAGGAGGTCTTGCTCATCAGGGCTCACTAGAGCTTTTGGGGCTGTGGGGTACGTGTGTGTGTGTTCATGCATGTATGTTGTATGATTATGGAACACATGGTATATCAATGTCAATACATGAAAGCAAGCAGGCATGAGCTCAGCAGCAGCTGTCAATTATATCTCCATCAGAGGGAAAGGAGAGCAGGAGCCTCAGGTTAGAAGAAGATCATGCTTCTTCAGTTGTAATTGTAAAGAGTAGGGAAAATAATCCCTGGGCTACCCAGACAAGGAGTTAAACCTGCCTGCAGTATAACCTTCACTTTTGGGTTGCCCTCACCGGAAACTGACCTCAAGAGACGAGCAGCCCCCACCCCAGATTCCAACCCTACCTTCCCAGCCCTCATTATGTCAAGAAATGCTTCCAATTTCTTAAAATCTGTGGAAGGCAAATTCAATTAATCCAAAATTATTAAACCCCATTAAAACATCCATAAAACACAGGGCTTGCTTCTCAGAGGAAGATATTTATAGGTAAAGATAACAGCTACATTGAGCCTGAGCTCACAGGCTACTGTCTCAACTCCTCATGAAGCTGAGGCTTGACAGCCTGGACAACTTAGTGAGACCCCTCAAAAGAAGACTGGAGATACAGCTCAGTAGAACATCACATGCCTAGTATACAGGCAGTCCCCTGTGGAAAGAAAAGAAGAAGGGAAGAAAGGAAGGAAGGAGGGAAGGAAGGAAGGAGGGAAGGAAGGAAAGAAGGAAGGAAAGAAAGAAGAAAGAAAAGGAGGCAAGAAAGGAAAGAAGGAAGGTGGAGAACAAGGAAGAAGGGAAGGAGAGAACTACAAGAGATTTAAGAGTTGGCTGTGTAGTTGGAATTGAATTCTTTTCTGCAACCTAACATATAAATCCATACATTAAAGGATGGAAGTGAAAGCAAGCTTAGGCCAGCAGTGCTACAGGTACTGCTATACCTGAAAGCTTATCAAACACGAATGGCTAAAGCTGTGGTGGCTGTTGTTGTTTAATGTTGTTGGTGGAGAAAAATGCAGAAAGAGGAGATAAAGGAACCATCAGAGCACAGTGCCCAGGGTTTAGCCTACTGCTCTAACGGAAGGTTCTGGCAGCAAAGCAGCTCTCCCCTGGAGGAGGGCCGCTGACCCACCTGCTGAGGAGGCAGTGTGGAAGGCAGGGATCTGAGGAAGACACAGGCCTGGGTAGAGAAGAATGGGTAAAAGAGAGACACAGGGGAAGCGATGGTGGGCTAAAAGGAAGGAAGAGGGAGTGAGGAAAAGCTAGAGCTGGAAAGCTGGGGTCTGTGCCAAGAACAACAAAGTCTCCTACGGTCTCAATCTGAAAACCCAAGGAGAGTGAGAGCGGGTCCTGAGCAAGGTCCACCCACATTGAGCACAGCAGTTTCTTATTCTCTTCCCCCCTCTAAAGCTGAGGCACACTGTCCAAATCATGGTGAAAGGTTGACGCTAAAGGCTCAGTGGACATATAGCCACAAGCACACTGTTTCCACAAAGAATAATTTCCACATAATTAATAGGAATGACTTTAAACATAAATAATTTTAAACATTTTACTGAGGTTTAAAAAAAAGGTTTAAAAAGAAGCACTGTTTTCAAGTGGCAAAGGTACATTCTGCTATAATTTACCATCAGGTTGGATTTAAAAATGTCTCAGAGACTTGTATTGCCTTTATTAAAATACTTGAGCCATATTTTAATCTATTGGTTGTACTTATTTAGATTGTAACAGAGGGCCACTTTGGTGGCCAAATAATGCAGTCTAGTTACCGGTATGATCAGCCAATAATAACGCACAAGCAGAATGTTCCACACACAACCGAACATCAGTTTTCACGCTCGTATCATCACTCGTCTTTGAAAGAGACCAAATCCACTTAAGAACGTGGGGTAATTCTTTGAAACTAAAAATATTTTAAATAGAGAAAAGAAACAAGTGAAATTAAATTTTCAAATATTCAAAGCAATAACATTTATAGTGCACACATGGAGGTCTGTTTAGAAAGAAAAGAGTGTCACTGTCTCACAGGGTCGATAGATTCGCTGCTGTAATCACAGTTTACAAAATGCACATATTTACCGTATAACTTTGACTCACATAACCGTTTACTGTCAGGCAGCAGCTCCCGGGTTTGTGATTCTCCCAGCTGTGGGAGGGGTAGCTCATTTTCCATGCTGTGTTTTATTCAAACTTAGAAAGCTAAGACACCAGGAATTGAAGCATTTCACTCCAGGACAAAAGCCAGCCTGAAGTTCAGCTGGTTTCAACTTTTCTCTGTAAGCAAAATTTCTCTCAAGGTGTCAGAATAATAGTCCTGGTTCAGCCAGTGCTACTAAAAACATCCTTCAGTGTCTCGTACCCTTGTGCCCCTGGGTACCAAATGATAAGTGGGAGCACCCTATCAGGAGTCGGTGTGGCCAGGCAGTGAGAGTTTCTTTCAAAATATTTGCATTTCCTCTGCTAAGCACAAGCTTTTAATGTTGCCTCAAAAGCCACTTAACAGACTCAGCTTCACAGGATGAGAAATACCAGCAGGGAGCAGCACCTGGATTCCCTGCTCTTTGCGGGGAGAAGGAAAGAAGCCTTCTCTTCCCTGAGACAGGCTTCATTCGCTGTTACCACGACAGCTTTCCTACAGTCGTAACTATGCGAGGGGCACAATCATAACTGAACCCTCTCCCTCAACACACACAAGGAAGCAGGTAGAGGGAGAGGTGGTGTGGTTAATGCTCCTTCCCTCCCAATCTTCAACTAGCCAAAACTGTCTGTCTGACCAGTTTGCTGTGCTTAAGAGGAAACTGTCCAGTCTCCAAAGAAAATCGACTTTCTCATTCTCTGAACAGGGCTGAGCCAAGGTCTGCTCCGGGGTACACAGTCAAAACTTAATACCAGTTTCTGACAGTTGAGTCCACGTCCCCAGCGCATGGGGCGTGCATAATAATTCCCCATATAACATGTGCGTGAGACAAGCGGCTTTATCTTCCACTGCTCTGATGGCCTCGGAGGAATTAATTATGTTGGCTGGGTGACAGCCAGCCGAGACCGTCTTTCCTTAAGACGTTCAGAGCCTGAATGGCAGCCTCGTTAACACTAAAGGCCTCTCACCGGCCTCGCCAACTGAAGGCCAGCACATTCGGGCTGCAGACAAACTCACCTGCCGTTCTTGGTCACGATCATTTCGTTAGTGACTTCCTTGAACCTCTGCCAGAGGGGGGCATCCTCCAGGATGATCTGAAGTTGCTTCTCCGTCGGATCTCCCTTCTCCCGGCCTGCCTGCAGCTCACTCTCCACCAGGTTAAGCAGGCGAGACACGGTGCCTTCTCCTGCCTTCTGTGCGTTCTGTGTGCCCAATTCGCTCATGGCCGTAGGCCTTCTCAAACTTTGCCGAGAGAGCCGTTCCCACCTTCTCTGCTCCTTCCAGCTGCTTCCTTCCCTCAGTTGCTAGTTTTTCAAGCCCAGGGGGTCAGTGTCTGGGAGGAGAAGAAGACGCCTTGGCTCTTGCATAAGCTTCTAGTGTGACACCCCTAAAAGTCTCCAAATTATACCGCCAACCTGTTAAGCTTCAGTTGGGGAGCAGAGTGGAGGGTGGGGAGAGGTGGAGAAGAAAAAGCGCTCTCTTAATTACACAGTGGGTCAGGTGGGAGTCCGCCTGGCTTTCCCATTGGCTGCCCTGCCTTCAGTAGACGGTTAAGAAGAGTACTCCATCCAAATTATCAGGCTTTTATCTTGTTGTACCTGAAGAGGTCTAATCGGTGTATTGAGGACCATTTTCCCGTTAATTAAAATTATTCCAGGCCCAGACTGCAACAATCAAGCAGATCATAATTATGGCGTGTGGCACCTATAGAAAAAAAAAAGGGGGGTGGGGGAAGACGGAACACAGGCAACAAACTTGCTGCCTGGACCACCTGTCCTGACGGAGTAGTCAGCTGAACTCTCTCTACCCTGGTCCAGCAACCTGAAAAGATGTGGAAGCCCCTGCAGACAAGAGCAGTCTGTGCTGAAGGTCAAGGGCTCTGTGCCAAGGTACAAGACCAGAGAGGAAGGGAAGGTTTTCTGTGTGCCATGCTTTAAAAACCGAAGTCAGGAGGAAAGAAAAGACCTGGGGCCTCTTTCTCTCAGGTGCACATTCACAGCCTGCTCACCTCAAAGGTTCTTTTCCTCTTCAACAAACACGAGAGCTTTGACCTTCGACCTTCCCCCCTAGAATCCAGATCCCTAATTTCTCTTACCTCTAATCGTTTGTGCGAGGAAGGGGGAAAGTAATTTGTACCAAATTATTCTAAGGAAAAAAAAAAAAAAGTCTGCCCCGTGAGAGTGAGAAACAACTTTTTATATCATTAGGCAGAGTGATGCTAAACCTTTGTCCAAAAAGGCATCCGTTCTCTTTTGGACAGCCATGGCCAACGCGGTCCTGCCAGAGTGAACCCCCCCCCCCCATTTGCTGAGAGAATGAAATCAGTAGAAACACTTTCTTTGACTACAGATACAACACCATGCTAGCGAATGGGAAGGTGGAAACCACGGAGGAAATACCCCAAAGCAGGTGAAACACCCAAACCCCAGCAAAGCCTAGGGAGCTGTTTTTTTTTCTTGTCATTGTAAAAGAAAACAAGAATGTCAGAACAAAGGGGAGATGAAAGCAGAAAGTTTAGGAGGAAAGTGCAGATGTGGAGGATGCCAAACACGAATCAAGTGGCTACTAAGTTAAGTACTACTCGGGAGTGATGGAGGACAGAAGTGACATCTTCAGAGAACTACCAATCTGATGGGGAAAAGAAGTGCCATGGAGTGGTTTGATTATCAGCCATGGTAAGAAGATTATGTAAAAGGTCAAGTGGTGGAGAAAACTCCATGCAAGGCGGGATGGCGGGGGTCCTGATGAGATGGTGTGCTATACACAGAAAGGCTTCTCTGAGGAGGTGTCCCAACCACAACTGAAAGAGACACAGGAAACGTCGGAAGAAAAGTGTCCAGAAGAGGGAATCCAAGATGTCAGCCATGGCTTGACCCAGGCAGGGACCTACTAGAAGCCAGAGTAGCAGAAAGCAGTGGCAAAGAGAAAAATGTGAGCAATGCTGAATTGGTTATGAAGGAACCAAGAGCCTAACAGGAATAAATTAGTCCATTTACTGAGACTGAGAAGCTGAGGGAGATGAGGAGTTAAGCAGAGGCATGCTTTCCTTCAGAAATCAATGTTTCAAGCTTATAATGAAAAGGATGTGGGAGAATTAATAACGACACAAAAGATAAACCCAACCTCAACCCACAGAACATATCTCACCTCACATAATAAAAGGGAATGCTGAAGGGGTCGTTTAAGGAGAGTCTTAAGGCCTGTTGACAGGGATACGTGTCCTCCAAAGAGGCCACACTCCCTTCCTAAGCAGTCCACCAACTGCAAGCCAAACATTCAGATAGATGAGCCTATGGGGGCCGTGCTCATTCAAGCTATCACAGGCAGCCAGTGCTCTTAACCACTGAGCCATCTTACCAACTCTGCATAAAACTCCATTTCAGGAAGCTTCTGTAGTATTAGGCTTCCACACGACATTTTCAAATGCCTTTCATGTTAGTTACCCGTCCCCACACTCCTTCCTCTCCCCTGCCCTCATACTTCTCCCCCACTTAATCCTCCTTGCTTCGTTATCCCGTACCCACCCCGACACCTGCCTCCAGATTTCTCCATTTCCTTGAGAGGTCCGCCAGGCCCCTTCCTAGTTTCCCAAACTCTATGAGTGCTCCAATTTAAACATACATATCTAAAGCCTGACAGCTAGCATCAATGTATGAGAGAGAACACGTGGCAGTTGTTTTTCTGGATCTGGGTTACTTCACTCAGAATGACTGTTTCCAGTTCTCTGCATTTCCCTGCAAGTTTCATAATTTCTTTTTTTTTTCTAACAGTTGAATAATATCCCGTCTTATAAACATACAGCATTTTCAGTATCCATTCAACAGCTGACATCTATTCTGTCTTTATTTCTTGGCTATTGTAAATAGAGCAGCAATGAGCATGGATAAATAAGTATCTCTATGTTAGGATACAGATTGCTTTGGGTGTAAACCCAAGAGTGGTATAACTGGACCATGAGCTAGATCTGGTTCTAGCTTTTTTTTTTTTTAAGGTTTGTTTGTTCGTTCAATTGTTTTATCATTTGTACTTCACTAGATACGCTGGTGAAGACTTTTCCCCTTTGGTAGGCTGACACTTCACTCCAATGATGGTGTCCTTTGCTGTACAGAAGTATTTTGACTTTGTGAGGTCCCCCTTATCAATTTTGATCTATGGGGTTCTGTTCAAAAAGCCCTGTCTTTGTGCCTGAAAGTTGAAGCATTCTTCCTGTTTCTCCTCTATCAGCGTAAGAGTATCCAGCCTTATACTGATTCATTTGGAATCTAGTTTTGTTCCAGGTGACAGTTAAGGATCTAGTTTTCATTCTTCTATTACCCAGCTCGACCAGCACCTTTTGTTGAAGATGCTGTCTTTCCTCCAATGTGTATTGTTGGCTTCTTTGTTGGAAATCCTGTGGTTATAGGGATGGGCCTTATGTGTGGGTACTAAGTTCTATGCCATTGATCAAAGTGTCTATTTTTTATGCTGATATCACGCTGGTTTCTAATTACTGTAGCACTGTAGTATACCTTGAAATCTGTGATGGTGAAACCTCTGGCAATTTTTGTTTTATTGTTCTGGGTTGTTTGGCTATCCTGATTTTTTGTGTTTCTCTGAAATTTAAGATTGCTTTTTTCAATAGTGATAAAATATTACATTGGAATTGTGAGTGATTGCACTGAATCTGTAGCTTGCTTTTATGGAGTGGCTGTTTTCACAAAATTGATCCTTCAATCCCTGGTGTATGGGAGTTCTTTTCCTCTTCTGGCATTTTCTTCAGTTTCTTCCTTCAGTGTCTTATGAGGCTTCATTTTTACAAGTTCCTTGCTTAGATTTACTCCGAGATGATTTGGGGTCCAAATTATTATTCTCATAATGTATTTTCTCAGTGTATTTTTGTTGGTACATAAGAAAGCCACTGGGTTTTATATGTGAATTTTGTATCCTACTATTGTATCCTATTTTGCTGAACATATTTATCAGCTGTAGGAGTTTTCTGATGGAATCTTTATGGTCTTTTATGTATTGAATCATATCAGCTACAAATAAGGATTCTTTGATTTCGTCCTTTCCTATTTATCTCTATCTCCTTCATTTGTGTTATTGCTTTAGCACAGACTTCAGGTGCTATTTTGAGTAGGGATAGAAAGAGTGAATACCCTTATCTTGTGCCTGATTTTAGTGAAGATGGTTTGAGTTTTCCTGTTTAGCATAATGCTGGCTGTGGGCTTGCTGTATATCGCTTTTATTCTGTTGAGATATGTCCTCTGCATTTTGAGATTCTCCAGAACTTTTATCATAAAGAGAAGTTGGATTAACTGATAAATTAATGTTGTTTAATGTGGCATATATGTTCAATGGAACCCTCTTCTGCCGTAAAAAGAATATAAGCCTATAATTTACAACAAAATAGATGGGACTGGGTGCAGCCATTAAACGACACAAGTCACAGATAGCCTCACCCTCATGAATAATTGTCCTCACCTTACAGGGGGCTGTCCTTCAAGCCTGTGCTCTTCCTAGAATTTTAAGTTACCACAAAAAGGAATCTTCTCTCAAAATAAATAAACAAATGTAAGTGGGCAATGAAACAAGACTGGAGTTGATTGACTAGTGTGTTTGGCTTCACTGAGATGCACAAAAACCTTGGTGGAGAATTAGAAGTTGAGCTAGTGACAGACTTATGGGTTGTTGTGGGTATTATCATTGTTATTGTTGTTGCCTTGCAATTTGTTAGAAGTGTGGAGCTTAAAGCCACATCCTTTGTTATCTCACAGTTTCTCTAGGTCTGAAGTCCAGAAAAGGTATAGCTGGGCTCCCTTTTCTAAGCTTCATGGGGTCTGGTTAAGGTGGATCACAGAGGGTGAGCTTTGAGGCTTCAAAAGCCCACACCATCCTGTTATCTCTCTCTACCTCTTACTTGTGGGTAAGGATGTATGCTCTCAGCTACTCCTCTAGCACCATGCTTGCCTGCTGCATGCTACCTGCCATGATGGTCATAAACTCTAACCCTCTGGAACCATATGCCTCAAATTAAACACTTTCTTTTGCAAGTAAAGATAGATAGATAGATAGATAGATAGATAGATAGATAGATAGATAGACAGACAGATAGACAGATAGATGTGGCAAATCAGGGTGATGATGATACTCTTCTACCTGACAATTTGACTTCTGTCTCACTGGCCCAGCAGGGTACATTGTTGGAGGATGAGAGTGTGTGGCACACTGTTAATTAAAGTGT